TCTTCTTCCTGTTACATAAAGCAGTACCCCCACCCCACCACACGCCTTGCTCCAGTTCTACACACCACTCATGTTTGGGCATCCAATTGAGAATCAAAACTCCTTCCATCTAATGAGATCAGGCTCTGGTTCAAAACACAACTAGAGTTTATGTTTTCTCTCTCATACACACTATGGTGATGTAAACAATACATGCTTCTTTTTTAATTGGAATAATTCAGACAATAGCACGGAAAAGGAAACACAGTGCCAGGAAGCCAGAGCTGGACGAAGCATGGATGCTTCTCAAAACTGACATTTTTCTTCTCATCTACATTTTTCCCCTTAATGACAATTCTCAAGCTTATTTTGATCTCAGCTCTCACACCTGTTCTTCCCTTTACCTAGAATGCTTTTCCCACAGGTTCCATGTGGCTGGACCCCACACTCCCCCTGGTCTCTGGTCAGACAGCACCACCTCCCAACTTTCCAGAGTGTTAACCAATGAGCCAGTGTTAAATCACATTCTCTTCCTCGTCTCTTGCTGTCCCTCTTGCCTGCTTTATTTTCTCTCCATAGCTTATATCATCATCTTCCATGTATACATTTTTATTATTATTTATATACTTATTTATTTGAGAGGCAAAAAGAGAGCTAGATAGAGAGGGAGAGCTCCCATCCACTGGTTCACTACCCCGAATATCTGCAACAACTGGAGCTGGGCTGGTGCTGAAGCCAAGAGCTGTGAACTCAACCCAGGGCTCCCATGGGCAGGGACCCAAGTACTTGAGCCATCGCCACTGGCTCCTAGGGTCTTCATTAGCAGGAAGCTACAGTTAGGAGATGGAGCCAGCAATCAAACCCATGCATCCAAGGCAACATCTTAACCACTAGGCCAAATGCCCACCTCCATCCTACACATTCTAGTATTTGCTTATTTAGGGTCTCTCTCCCACTCAGATGTCGGCTTCAGCAAGGCAGTTTTGCCTTTCTCACTCACTGCAGCATTCCCAGCACCTAGAACAGTCCCTGGCACACAGCAGACACCCAACACACACTTGTTGGATGATGAACAAATGCGTACGTGAACGACATGAAGGCCGGTTTCCAGCAGGTATTCTAGACGAGGAGTGACATTTTACACAGATGGTAGGTATTTGATGGTGTCTGGGTTCATCTATACTATTTTCCTGGGTACCATGGAGACCTCCAAAAAACTGCTGTTCTGAAATAAAATCAATGGTGCAAATTAGTCACTTGATTCAAAAGTACTCATGCTACTGTTTAGTCATTAAATGTAGAAAAGAAAAGATGTGAAAAGACATTATTCTATTGTCAGCATCCCTTTTTCTTTCAAAAATCAAACCTCCATCGTGCTGGTCTCATTTTACTCATGAGTTGAGAGCCCCACACGGCAGGGGCTGGCGTGGGTGGACTTCAATTTGGTGCTGATTGTGGGGGCGGGGAGGTGGGTGGATGGACCTAATTTCTCTCTATGACAAAGCCATGCACACTGTTCCCTTCCTGTGCTTCTCTGTGGGACTGAGTCAGAGGGGCTTGGGTCCCAAGGAGTGATTTTCTGAGTATGTTGGGACCCAGGCTAGAGACAGCTCACAAAAAAGGCCACAGTGTGGTAGCACTTGGCTAGGCAGGGTCAACGCAGGGAGCTCTGGGTGGCAGCAGGAGATCCCTGTCTGCCACAGTTCACTGGGTGCACCCAGCATCACTTCTGGACTTCACTTCAGCTAGGATTGGACCAGAGTATTTCTAGTCTGCTCTGTGGTTTAGTGAGCAGGATGACCAAGTCTTTAGAGAAGTCAAGGACAAGGACAACCAGCTGCTCCTGGGGCTCTGGACAGCAGCTCTACCTGTTGGTCGTAACTCAGGGTTCAGCCGAGGGGCTTCAGGGTGGGCCAGCAACACCAGCACCACCTGGAAATCTGTGAGAAACCCAAATTCCCAAGCACCAATCAGATTACTGAAACAGAGTACAAGGGATGGGGCCTTGTACTCAGGAGCTTAACCAGCCCCAGGGGACAGAGACGCCTGCTGAAGTGTCTCCCCTACCCTCTCCATCAGGCCCAGCAAACAGACACCAGTGGTCTCCATGGCTCGAAGTACCATGTATATCTCTCTAATCGTGGATTCATACAGCATATACTGCCTCCCTCTCCATCGCAGATTCTGCTATTTCTAGCTTTATCTTTAGTCCTGTGGCTAAGAACTTCAGATAACATAATCCAAACTCTGTTTCTTATTCCATCAACTTCCGACGGCATCTCCTGACCCCCTGCCTTAGTAAGAAGCTCCTGTTTCCTTCTCTCCACTTCTCTCCCTCCCATCCATTTCACGACTTAAGTCAAAATCCTTTCGCTTTTATCTTTCTAACCAGTTCTTACATGTACAGTTCCTTCTGAACTCATAAACTAAGGCTTTCATGACTGGCCTAGAAATCAGCGCCAAATGTCGAAGGTCAAGGTGCACAGCACTGAACACACCCCCTCGGGAGGCTACATTCTGTATCAGAGTGCCTGGGGCAAGCCCCTGCTCTGCTTCCAAGTCCAGTTCTGGTTTTGCTTCCAAGTCCTACAAGCATGCACTCTGGGAGCCTGTACGTGATGGTTCCAGTACCTGGGTCCCTGCCACTACATAAAGACCTGGATTAACTTCCCAGTTTCAGCCTGGTCCAACTTTGTCTGTTATGGATATTTGGGGAGTGAACAAGCACAGGATGGATCTCTGTCTCTCTGCTTCTCAAATAATCTTAAAAAATAAAATGTGTCAAAGACCAGTAATTGGCATCTATATGAGATTATGGATGGAAAAAAGCATTACACAGCATGCAGCACATAGTAAAATCCCCACCAATATTGGTTATTATTTCCATGACAAGATGAATCCCGATCAGGTGGTGCCAGCCTCCACAGACGCCTCACCTCCTGCTGGCCACACCTGTGTGGGGTCCCCTCCCACACTGAATATGGCTGACCCTTCTGACCAAGAAGATATTGCAAAAGGGCACGTGAAGCACCACAGCTTCTGCCTTGTTCTCTTGGGACAACTTGGTGTGCGGAAAGCAGCAGCAAGTCATGAGGACACGGAAGCTACTCCGTGGAGAGCTGAGGTCTGCCACCAGCTGGTTTTCCATGTGAAGGAGTCACTCGACAGTGCTGTGAAGCTGCAGGCAACTGTACCCCTGCCCCACATGCGGACCACAACCCATGAACAATCTTGAGCCAGAGTCACCCAACGAAGCTGATCTGAATTCCCAACTCGCAGAGACCATAAGCAATAATTAAGGTTTAAGCCATTAAGGGTAGTGTGACCCATTACAGTCCAGCAGATAAGCACAGCTTACCATGGAGTCAGCCACTCTGTGGAAGGGCCCTATTTCCTAGCACATGCTCCAAATGGCAATATCCTGAGTCAGATAAAGAGATGAGTCTCTCTTTTAGCCTGTGCTACGACATGGTCTTAATTCTTTGTAAAACTCTGTCCTAGTAGGAAAATCAAAGCCAACTCTCTGTGCCTTGGAGACCATCGGTCAGCATCTCCCTAGGCTGTCACAGCCTCAACATTTCAGACAAGCCCCGGCAGAGCTCACCCCTGCAGTACCCCACCTCTCTGTCCTCTACTCCAGTGCACTGCAGACAGATACCGCAGGAGCTTGTTAAGACCCCAGATCCCATTGGCCCCGCCCCAGGGGTCCTGAATCATTAGGGGCTTTTTAAAGAAGCCCTGCCCCTGCCCAGGCCATCCTGACGCAGGAAGTCTCCAGTCTATCCCAGCAGAAAAGACGCTCTGAAGACTGGCATCTCCTCTCCCTGGATCCATTAGCTCAGTGATCACAGCTTATGAGAAGGAATGACATTGGAAGCATTTGCAGGCACAAACGAGCCAGCTTGCAAAATAGGCACGGCATTGAGAGCACTGATGAGCACAAACGAGCCGGGCCATCTCCAAGCCTGAAGGCAGAGGACGGCAAGCTGGGCTCCATTGTGCACACTGTGTGCAGTCACTGTCTTTTCTCTGCCTCTCACAAAAGACCCACCAGTGAACAACTGGGAGAAAAATCCAGCCCGAAGGACCCGGGGTCCCTCCTGCCTTCCTCGGGCATTGTGTGTCTTTTTTTTTTATTATTCTTTCCTCACTTTGCAAATCTCCAGGAATTACGTATGTCTGGGTCTCCTAATGTCAGGTATTGAGGGCCACGACTGTATTTAAGGGCTTTTTAAAGCCTCACCAACAATGTAGTACGAATAACTTGGAAACCTTGAAAAACATGTGAAAGAAGTTTAGCGCATCCCAGGGATGCTAGTTTAAAATGATCATTTCCTAGCTCTCATCAACACCCACTAATGTTCACCAGCTGTAGTTACTGAAGCCCATCCATGGCGGAAGCAGAAGCTTTGCTCAGAGGACAACAATCTGGGGCCCTTGATGTCACTGGAGCATAAAGACTCTGTTTAGACAGGACCAGAGATCAGCTTGGAAGAGGAAGCTCCCAGGTACAAAGCTGAGACTCTGCACCCCAGGAGGAAAGTCCCCTAAAGGGATTCCCTTTGACACACAGGAGTCAAGATAAATCAATCTCTTGGGCCAGCGCTGTGGCTCACTTGGTTAATCCTCCGCCTGAGGCACCTGCATCCCATATGGGCGCAAGGTTCTGTCCCGGTTGCTCCTCTTCCAGTCCAGCTCTCTGCTATGGCCTGGGAAAGCAGCAGAAGATGGCCCAAGTGCTTGGGCCCCTGCACCTGTGTGGGAGACCAGGCGGAAGTACCTGGCTCCTGGCTTCAGATTGGCCCAGCTCCAGCCATTGTGGCCATTTGGGGAGTGAACCAGCAGATGGAAAACTCTCTCTCACACTCTCTTTCTCTCTCTCTCGCTCGCTCTTTCTCTGCCGCTCCTTCTTTCTCTGTGTAATTCTTTCAAATAACTAAATAAATCTTTAAAAAAAAAAAAAAGTCTAGATAGACAACTTGGATCAGTTAGCACTTTCTGTGTAACCAAAAGTCCTTTACCCTCTCCTGATGCCACAGTTCAGTGATTTGGGCTGGGCTCAGCTACACAGTTCGGCTGGGCTGGGCTGGCTGCCCTGCTCCCTTGGTCTTGTTGTCCTGCAGGATGGTCTGGGCTTGCACACAGAGTGCTCACAGGATTTCCAGATTCAAGGAACAGAGCTGGATGGACAGAGAAGAATTGGTGGTCACTTTTGCAGAGGTTCACACAGATAATATACAGAAATAAGCACTCCCAGCCACAGGTATCTGTGTGTCAGGGCCCAGAAAGAAGTAAGTGCCCCGTTGAGGGGTGCAGCCCTGCTGCACAAGGACGCCCTAGTTCTCCATTCATTTTCACAGCTGCCTGGCCCTTTGGGACAGGAAGGTCTGCCATTACTGTCCCCAGGCTGACCTGTCACCCTAAGTATTCCAAAAACCTATGCCTGGCCACGAAAAACTCATGCTTGTGCAGGGCCCCAAAATCCACTTGCACTTCTAAGAAAAATGCCTCCCTTCTACTGTTTCCTTCCTCAGTAAACCCCTGCCAGGAGAATCTAGAGGAGCAGTGGGGAGGGTCACTCACCCATGCGGGGACCCTGGAAAGGGCAGCTTTGGAGCCGGTGGCCTTGGGTTCTGCGTTGGACCCACAGCTACACATTACTGCCTCTCTAAACTTCGGTTTCCTCATCGATAAGGCTGCACCTGCTCAATTGATTGCCTCCCTTTGAAGGCCCTGGGTGCACCGGTGCAGCCCCATCTTTCTGCATCAAAAGCCTTTCAGGAACAAAAAAAACGCCCCCCACACACACACACACCAGAGTTCCATGTGACCCCTGTGTGGCTCTGCAGCCCCGAGGCTGACGAATTGATGGTGGGCCTCCCACGGAGACGATCCTCACTCAGACACACTAGGTCTGACCGGCGTTTGTGCACTCTTGAGTCCCCCGGGAATGGCTCCTTGCACAGCTCTGACAGGGTCGGAGTCTTGAGAGGGCCTGCAGCGCCCCCTGCTGGACGCCTCACTCCAGGTCAGCCTTGCACCCCTGCACAGAGCTGCCTGGTGGTGCAACTCCCAGGCCGGCCTGCAGCACAGGTCACCCTCAGACAGAGCACACAGGCCTGGGCCGCTGCCACGCTAGGCAAGGAAGTCTGCTCAGGACGCCTCCCACACTGGAGTCTTCCCTTAGCCTCAGGCCCCACCAACTGCAAAATGGAAATGATTCTGTGCCCACGTGCCCATCTCCCCATGTGATGGGCTCAGAGCCTGGCACCAAAATGTGTAACAAATGGCAGCTATGACTCCAGGGTGAGTGTCACTGAATATATGATGGCAACAATAATAAATAGTGGTCCTCCTTTTCATAGCACTAACAGGATTGCAGGGGCCAGGGTTACACACTTAGCATCCCCTAGACTCAAAGAAATCTCAGTAAAGTCAAAACATGTTTCTCCCCTACTTCATTGATAAGAAAATAAACTCAGGTGGATTAGGTCATTTGTCCAGGACCAGCGCTGTGACGTAGCAGGTAAAGTCGCTGCCTGCAGTGTTGGCATCCCATATGGGTACCGGTTAGAGTCCCAGTTGCTCCACTTCCGATCCCTGCTAATGTGCCTGGGGGAAGCCGTGGAAGATGGCCCAAGTGCTCAGGCCCCTGCACCCATGTGGGAGACCAGGAAGAAAATCCAGGCTCCTGACTTCGGATCTGCCCAGCTCTGGCTGTTTACTTCTATTTGGGGGGTGAACCAGCAGATGGATCACCTCTCTCTCTCCCTCCCTCCCTCTCTCTCTCTGCCTCTAACTCTGTCTTTCAAGTGAATAAATAAATTTCGAAAAAAAAAAAAAGGCACTTGTCCAAAGTCTGCTGTCACGCAGTTAGCAGCCAGCAGCCTGCACCCAGAAGTGATGAAACTGCCTTCCTCGACCGCCATCGGCAGGCCGACTCTTCGCCAGCCTCCCACCTCGTTCGTGAGCCATGAGAAAGGAGAAACTAAACTCATCAGATGGTTGTGTTTTCCCCCAAAATTCCCAATGACACCTTCCTGTGCTGAGTCCCTCGCTCACACAGAGATAGGCGTGGTAGCCCTGGCATCTGTCCCCACCTGACAGAGAGAAGGCAGAGAACGTGGGTGAGGCTAATTGAGGCTGTCCAGTGGGGCTGGGGTCTGTGGGCCCCTCAGACACAGTAGAATGTCCTGCACAAGCAGGCTGTCAGCTGCGGCTGGGAAGCTTGTCTCCAGAACAGCCGGCAGCTCCCCCACTAACAGCTTCTTGGGCTGCACCTGTGACCTTGCAGTTTTACAGCATGCCTTCAAGTTCCAGCCTTCCACCCAGAGCTAGCAGAAGAGGGGGCTGAGCCCCTAAGGGGAGACAGGCCATCTATCTGCTTCTTTGCAAATCATTTCCCGGCTTTTTATTTCTATACTAAGGTGAGAAAAAGAACCCATGAAACTCACTCCTACAACCACCCTCCCGTAATGAGCTCACGTCACCTGCCTGCCACCCCCAGGAGCTGGTTCAGAAGGTGCCAGGCTGTACCGGTGCTCTCAGCTGCTGTCTCCCACACTGAGCTGGGGTAAGACCACAGCGATGGCACCATGATGCTCTGCAGTGTTGCCTTTTCCAACTACACTGAGGCTGCTGACGGAAGGTTTGGGAGCAATGCTTCCAGAGTGCGAGGAGACAAGCAGGAGACTACACACACGCCCTACTCCCAGCATCCAGAAACTAACACCACTTCAAAGTGTCCCTGTTTGAGAACTGAGTCGGCCCCCAGAGTTAAGGGGCTACCTGGGATGTGGTTTTCAGAAAAGGGGAGCTCTGAGTTCCTATCTGTGTATCTGTCTTGTGACACCCCCACCAATGCCTCACCCCCACCCTGGAATGTCCAGAGAATCCTGGTTTATTCTTCTCCAGTCTTCCCTGTCCAGAACATGTCCAACAATCCAGCCAGCTTCTCTGTGTGAGGTTTCAAAATCTTCCCTAAGCCTTCCCACCCTTCACCCACCTCCAGGTCAGCACTAATCCTCAGACCTTCCTCCCACTCTCAAGTCTTCTCACAGGGCCCAGAGCCCAGGTCACACCTCTCTCAACCACAGCACCACAGAAGCCTCCCAAGTAGCCTCCTTCCTGTGTTGCCTCCTCCAGTCTGTCTCCCTCTGGCAAGCAAAGGGACCTGTCCAAAGTGGTCATCAGATGGGTAGACACTTGGTGCCGTGGTTAGGATGCCACTTGGGACCCCTGCATCCCATGTCAGGGTGCCTGGGTTTGAGTTTCAGCTCTACTTCCAATTCCAGCCTCTTGGGAGGCAGAGTGATAGCTCACATACTTGGTTCCCTGCCACCCACGTCCCAAGCAGCCTTGTAACCGCTGCACAGAAAACACTCCAGGTTAACACATTCAGTCTTTACAATAACTCCATTGTGTACCTGCTCAGTGTTACTATTCCCCTCTTGCATCTGAGGAAATTGAGGTATAGGTGACAACCTGCCCAGAGTCATGTGGGAGGCAAGCAGTGCAGTCCAGACCAGTCTCACTCCCACATTCAATCCCTCCAGCTCCACCAAGGGCACCTAAGTGTCCTTCAAATAAGGGAGGGAGCAAACCAGCTGTGGCACAGCCACAGCAATGAATACAACACAAACGTGTAAAGGAAGCCTGGGCCACTCTGTTTACCAACACAACAGATGTCCTTGATAGGGCAGCGGGTGAGAAAGCAAATGAAGAACATGCTATAATCCCACTTGGGAGCAAATCGGGCGAGATAAAAGACGTGATTGTTCGCCCATAGAAACATGTCAGGAAGGAGACAGGTGCTGTTGGCTCCCTTGCTCCAAGAACCTCGCCACATCCCTGTCACTTTCTGGGACCGCTCTCTGCTTCTCCACGGCATTTACTGCCACCTGGCACTGGAGTGTATCATCATGTGTTAATACTCGTCTCTATAGGGTGAATACAAATTGCGAAAGAGGAGAGTTCACTTTCCCTGGCGCAGTGAGGGTGACCCCCCTTCCCTTTTCTCCACAGCGTTTCCTTCAGGAAACTCGCCAGTTCTTCCTCTGCCTTTTGGGATGGATGCAAATCTCTTTAACCGTTTCCACAACCCGGAATATCTGTGTCAAGGATGTGACAGCCTGTTCATGGAAATGCAAAACATCAAGGAAGACAGTCCTCTGTCTCCAATATAGGTGAGAGTTAAACTTAGGTGACTCACTACGAGTTATGTAACTACCAGCTTGTCAGTGATAGGAGATGTTCATTATTCCTTAGAATACAGACAATTAGCCACCAGCAGTGGTGACCCAAATGACCCCTGAATTTAAGATAAGTTGTGTGTGACAGATTATGCTGTCAAGTCCTCTCACTCAGTCACTTATCCTTGGTGTTGAGGACACGGATGAGCTATTTGAAAGGACGGGGTTTCTCTCTTTGCAGCCTTCTGCAGTGTGACTATGTCCCCTCTTCCCCAACTCATGGAGGAGTTTAACCCCCAAAGTCATCTGTTCCCGGCTCTATGAGAGTGGACCCTGAGCCTGACTACCGCGCTTAGGGTGAGCTCCTGGGATCAGGCCCTGGGGGGCGTGGTAAGCTGGGGAGAGCGGCGCACAGCCACAGACACTCACAGACTCCTGCTCTGGCTTGATGTGATGCCAGCAGCGGGGCTCCTGGCCAGGGCCTGCATCAGGCTGCTGGCACCTCCAGCCTCCAAAACTGTGAATGAAATAAACCTCTTTTTTATAAAGTAGTAACAGAAAATGAACTACAGTGTGACCTCTTAGTGGATTACTGTTGACAGGCATCACAGTGTGTCTTACTGTTCATCCAGTGAGAAAACTGTTCTCTTTCCCCTTTACTTTTGTGGAAAGGCTCTCTGGGTCGGCAACAGATTTGGTTTTTAATTGCACTTCCCAACAACCTTCCTCGGCAGAGCACATGATCCACGGGCTGTCTTTCTGTTCATGCTGTACCCCAGTGTAATGCCTGGCACTGAGCAGGTGCTCAAAACACATTTACTGAGTAAATAAGCTTTCTCTCTACCCTCTGAAGGTTCTAATTTAGGCTACAAAATAAACTGACACTAAACAGATCAGCAGGAGAGAAATCACTTTAATTACAAGAGTCTCACCAAACAAGGGACTTGGAGAAGGACTGGATAGCTGAAGCCTATATGTCAATGTCCACCTGAGCTACAGACATGGACGAGGACCAGAACCTACCGGAGAAAAGCACATGAACAAAGGCTGTGCAAGTAAAAACTCTCTCGGGTAACAGGTGCTCTAAGGGCAGCCCTCTTCCTGACAGAGACATCTCACTCGGGCAGGTTTCCTTGAGGGACAGAAGTCTATTTTACCAAAACATCTACATGCTTTCTCTCTATCTTCATCCTTGCAGCAACCCTTTGGAAGTCAATACTATTATTGGCCCCAGTTTACAGATGAGAAAATTGAGGCTTGGAGATACTGCTCTGACTTGGCTGACCATTCAGTGAGTGTGAGTTAAAGTAGGGATGCAGTCCCAGGTGGTCTGACCCCAAAGCTCTTGCTCTTTCTTTTCTTCTGAAAGGCGGAGAGATGGAGGGAGACAGAGACAGACAAAGAGACAGATCTCCCAATTCATTGGTTCAATCCCCAAATGCCCACAACAATCAAAACTGGCCCAAGCTGAAGCCAGAAGCCTGGAACTCAATCCAGGTCCCTATGGGTGGCAGAGACCCAAGTACTTAACCAAGGCTCTAGCTCTTAACCTCAAGCCATAAAAGATTCTTAACACCAAAGCAGTGGACCAATATTCCATCTTATTAGTGGAAACAAGAAGACAAAACCCAACCAAATAGGAACCTGGGTGGCAAGAATCAGAACTCTTTGTAGCTCACACTGTCTGGGCTCCTGCCATGTGCCAGGCCCTAGGCTGTCCAATGTGACCTTCACAATGGCACTGAGAGGGGTGCCCACTTACCGTTCACTCTGCACAGATGAACACTGTGTAATGGTGAGGAGGTAGTAACTTGTCAAGGTCAGCCAGCAGCCACATCAGAATCAAAGACGGGTCTGTCTGCCTCCCCAGTTCATACTCTTGGCCTTGATTCTCCTGCAAGGTGATGGAGAAAACCAGAGAAGATGATCCAAAGTCAGCCACATTCAAACAGAAACAGTGTGCCCTCAAGTAGGCCAGAAGAGGCCTCTGGTGAGGGTGGTGGCAGCTACCTCCACTGGTGACATTCTCCACACCGAGGAGTGGGGTGAGAGGCTCCAAGGGTCTTTTTCTTGGGGACTAGGGCCCTGGCTGGTGTTTCTTCTCTGTCCCCTGTGTACCTAGCACAGCACCAAGTGCACTGTGGATCCCAGTGAATGGCTGCTGAACAAATAAATGAAAATATACCACCCACCCCTACAAGAGGCCTGCAGTTCGTGTTTTTTCTGTGTCCTGATGAGCTGTGGTCAAAAGGAGTCAAGGTGTTCTCCCCTGTCTCCATCCCTCCCTGGCCCCCAGCCCTTCTGTGTTGAAGAGGAAGGAAGTGGGTGAGAACAGAGCCTTTCAAGGCACTGAGATCCTGCCTGTCCTGCACACACAGGGTGGCCTTGAATCCCTTCCAGAAGCCATGAGGCATGTGTCCTCATTCCCGTATGACAGAGAATAGCTGAGCCTCAAGGAGCCCCATATCCAGGGCTTATGGGCTCCAGGCTCACCTCTGACCTGTGTGCTCCAGTCTACCTTGGAACCACCATATTCTACTGACCCGCACTCAGAGGGAGGAGAAGAAGCAGGCCCTGCATAACCGAAGCAAACCACGCATGCATCACCAGTACCTGGTGAGTAGGCATTGAATGAGCAAGTCAATGAATGGGTGAGAATCTTTCTGGGCAAAGATTACTAACAGGACCAACTGTTAAAAGATGTGGATTCAGGGGCTGGTGCTATGGCACAGTGGGTTGACACCCTGGCCTGAAGTGCCGGCATCCCATATGGGCGCCGGTTCGAGACCTGGCTGCTCCACTTCCAATCCAGCTCTCTGCTGTGGCCTGGGAAAGCAGTAGAGAATGGCCCAAGTCCTTGGGCCCCTGTACCCGCATGGGAGACCCAGAAGAAGCTCCTGGCTCCTGGCTTCAGATTGGCACAGCTCCAGTCATTGCAGCCAATTGGAGAGTGAACCATCGGATGGAAGACCTCTCTCTCTCTCTCTCTCTCTCTCTCTCTCTCTCTCTGCCTCTCCTATCTCTGTAACTCTTTCAAGTAAATAAAATAAATCTTAAAAAAAAAAAAGATGTGGATTCAATGGTTAAGTTCAAGTTAGAAAGAAAGAGAAAGGAAAAGGAAAGAAAGGAAGGAAAGAAGAAAACCTCTGAACACCCACAACCAGGAGACCGGGCTCATCATGGTGCATCCAAACTATGAAAGCCGTGCAGCTGTTACATAATGTCCACAACTAAGGTTTCCACAGGAGAAAACGGTAGTGACCTATAATGTGAAGAATAATAAATACAACATGACCCCATTTTAGCCATACCAGGGATATGGGATGTGGGGCACTTTGGCAAGATCTAGGCCATGTGCTCATGCCCTGACCAGATGCTGGCAGGATTTGAGAGCTCATCCAAACTGCAGCGGGGAGGGAGGGGCATCCATCAACCACACAGGGTGTTGGGCAGACAAAAAAAAGTGCCTTCCACATTTCCTGGCTTGGGTCCCTGCCCCATGCCAGGCCCAGACTTCTCTAAGCACTTAACCACGTTGTCCCATCTTACCGTCCCAGCAGCCCTTTGAGATAGGTATTATTAGTCCCACCCCTCCAGGTGACAAAGTGGACACTCAGTCTGAGTCACTGAGCTCACATGCAAGGCAGAGCCAGGTTCCAAGACAAGCATGTCCTGCATGGAAGCCACAACGGTAAGTGCCAAACTCTGACACAAGTCCTACTTCCACGCCTTTCCTGCAGCCAGCACAGTATTGGCACAGAGCAGGTGTTCAGATCAGTGAATGTGGACTGGGAACAAAGAGGTAGAGGAGGCAAGAAGTGATGTGTGGGTGCAAGTGTTTGGTCTGTCAGAAGCAGAGCTGGTGGGGAGAGCCTGCAAGGAAAGATGGTGATGAGCTGGTGGGGGTCAGGGACATGAGCCAAAGGGAAGGCACCAGGGCAGCAGACAGGACTCCAGAAGTGCAGAAAACACTGCGCACAGTCACTGCAGAACCTGACCAAGAGAAGAACTGGAAAAAATGCTCTTGTTGGGGGCTGGCGCCGTGGCTCACTTGGTTAATCCTCCGCCTGCGGAGCCAGCATCCGATATGGGCGCCGGGTTGCAGTCCCGGTTGCTCCTCTTCCAGTCCAGCTCTCTGCTGTGGCCCAGGAAGGTGGTGGAGGATGGCCCAAGTGCTTGGGCCCCTGCACCTGCATGGGAGACCAGGAAGAAACACCTGGCTCCTGGCTTCAGATTGGCACAATGCCAGTCGTAGCAGCCATTTGGAAAGTGAACCAATGGAAGGAAGACCTTTCTCTCTGTCTCTCTCACTATCTATAACTCTGTCAAATAAAAAAATTTTAAAAATGTAAAAATTAAAAAAAATTTTTAAATGCTCTTGTCTCAGAGAGAACAGGTGTAGGGAGGAAACAGCAATTTGTCCCAAACACTGTTGTTTTAATGCAGTCCCTCTGCTTCTCTCCTGAACCCATCCTCCCTCATTCGCAAAAACAGGCCACAGTGAGTAACCACAAGGCCTCCACCCCCGAGCAGATTAATAATAACTTGTCCCTGTGGGAACTGGGGACAAGCGGTTCCTCCCCATGAAGGAGAAACGCCTTCTTCCTCCTCCAGCAACTTGGCCCCTTCTGTGTCACTTATCACCCCTCCCCTGCACGACACAGGCACCTGCTCACAAACACGCCTCCCATCTGTGCACACACTCACCCCATCTTGTTCACAGTCATCACCACGGACCTGTCATTACCCCTCCTCAGCAGCCATTCCGCTGTGTGAGCTCAGGTTGTATTCAGGAAGATAATGCGCCTGCTTGGCTCTCAGCCAAGTCTTTAGACCCTGAAATCCCAGGCTCCCCAGCAGGCAACACTGACAGCTGATGCAGGTCTTGCCAGTGAAATGCTGGAAGCTTCTGAGGCAGGTGTTTGGTGCAGAGGCTAAGACGCTGTGTGGGATGCCTGGGTTGGAGTCCTGATTTGGCTTCTGATTCCAGCTTCCTGCTAATGCACACCCTGGGAGGCAGCAGGTGAAGAATCAAGCACTTGGGTCCCTGCCACCCAAGCGGGAGACCCAGATTAAGTTCTGGGCTCCTGGCTTTCGCCTGGCCTGGCCCCAGCTATTGCATTCATCTGGGAGTGAACCACCAAATGGAAGAGCTCTCTCTCTCTCTCGAACAAAAATATTTTAAAATAATAAAATGGAGACTTCTGTCTGACAGCCTCATGACGATTCATTCTGCCAACAACCTGCAGGGCCCTGGAGTGGACTTGCCCCAGCTGAGCTTCTGATAACAGCTGGAGTGTGGCTGGGGGACACTGAATATTTACTGCACTTGACCCACCAAGAATCCTGCCAAGCCACACCCTGACTCCACCTGCAGAAACTGTGAGATCAACAAATGTGTGTGCTATTAAGAAACAAAGTTCAGGGACACCTACTATGTAGTAATTAACCATTAACACTCCAGAGAGGCCTCGGATACCATGGAGCAGAAACAAGTGTTCCTCGTGCCCATCCAAATCCCTCACCCACGGGTTTCACGAGCTGAGTGAAGGGTGGGTGCCCTCCCACACTCAAGGCTGAGGAGTGTATCAGCAGCGAGAGATAACAGAACACATGCGCACTCTGCTCTAGGCGTGCACTGAGCACGTGCCATCAGCCCTCTCAGGCCTCCCGCCTGCTCTGAGACCAGTGCCCGCCTCCCACATTTACCAAGTGAGGACACGGAGCCTCAGAGCCCTCACACAAATAGCGTGTGGCCGGAAAAACTAAAACAGGATGAGTGGCCCAGAACACATCCAATTAACAATTTGAGTGCCAGTCATTGATCACTGCACAATAATTTTCCTCCAAAATTTAGCAGCTTACAACATTTACGATCTCAGTTTTATGAATAGGAAATTCAGCCAACCCCAAAATAGGGAGACTGCCCTGAACGACCTGGGCACACCCAGTGGGATCACTGCGGAACATCAAAGTGGAGAGGGAATGAGACGGGAGAGCCTGAGATCTGGCCAACACCACTGACTTTGAGGATGGAGAGCCAAGAGCCGAGGACTTCGGCTGCTTTCACAGGGTGGGAAGGACCAGGAACTGCATCCCCTGGAGCCTTCAGAAGGGTCACGGTCAGGCCAATACTGAGATATTAGCCCAATGAGATCCGATTGGACCATAAAATAATACATTTGCTAACAGGCACCTAAATTTGTAGTAATTTTTCTCAGCAGCAATAGGAAACCAATACTTTGGGGAAATGAAAATTAAAATAATACAACAGACCTTTATTCTCATCTTTCTATAACAAGTTTAAAATGATACAGTACCTGAGCACCAAAAAGGAAACCTGTTGAAGTGAAATGGACACTATGAGAAACGGTGACTTGATCAGCATAGCCCTGACTGTCGATGAACAACTTAATACGTTATCCCTCTTAGTATTTTTTTGTCTGTTTAATTCTGTAATTAATACACAGTTATTCTTAAGTGTTGAAACTTAACTGAAAAGTGATCCCTGTTAAATATAAGAGTGGGAATAAGAGAGGGAAGGGATGTACAATTTGGGACATGCTCAAGCTGACTTGCCCCAAACGGTAGAGTTAGAAACATACCAGGGGATTCCAATTCAATCCCATCAAGGTGGCATGTACCAATGCCATCTCACTAGTCCCAGTGATCAATTTCCATTCACAATTGATCATAATGATAGGACTAAGAATCAAAGAGATCACATAATCAAGACTAGTGTCTGAAAATACTAACTGATAGAACAAAAAAGGGAGAGAACGATCCAACATGGGAAGTGAGATACACAGCAGACCCATAGCATGGCAGATGTCCTAAACAGCACTCTGGCCTCAGAATCAGCCCTAAAGGCATTCGGATCTGGCTGAAAAGCCC